TAATATTTATAATTATTATTAATTATTTTTAATAATTAAATCAAATTAATATTTTCATGTTTAAAAGTTTTTCTGACCATGACATTAATAATGTGCAGCAGCCATAACTTTGCCAGCAACTTTTAGCCCTTCCCACTCAATGGCACGTTCCGTAATATTCTTCAAAACACAGGTCAGAGCTCTCACACCCATTTTCGAGAAAAAAAAGCTTGTCCTTTCTTTGGGGGGATCTGAGAAGGGTAAATATCCTGTTTTCCGCTACCCATTTTCCCCACTCTCACCTCAATTCCAAGCCGTCGATCAGAAACTTGAATAATAATATTTCAACATCAACCACTAATATGGAAAATAATCCGTGCACCTGATCTCACATGATTACTCCCTTCGTGTAGATTGCTGTCAGCTAGAGATTCCGCGCCGAGAAACTTATTAAACTCGACAAAATGTAGCCGGCTTAGTAGGGCCCACAATTACTGTACTTATGCGTGATAAGTACGAGAACTTATCACCCTAAAACTTATAGGACCTATCAGTGATAAGGACAAGTAGTTATCATCCCTTTTATCTGTCTCCTCGTCCTATAAAAATCGCCATTTCTGCAAGTCTTTATGTTGGGTATTGTATCTGAGGAATATAATTTTCTAGAGAGAAAGAAAGCAGTTGTAGAGAGAGAAAAGGCACATTTGTGCTCCAAATCTAGAGCGAGAAAGCTTCAGTAATCGATCCCTCGAAGGTGAGCTTCTCAGAAAGGTTTCTCGGTTCTCTGTTTTTGTTATGTTATGTTATACAATCTGATACTAAAAAATCTTTAGCTTTTCTCATCTCTTGTTTGCTTTTTTTTTTTTTTTTTTTTTTTTTTTGGGGAAATTTGCATCTTGGGTTTCTAGATGAAAGAAAGCTGCTTTTAGTTGTGTCTCTTTGATCCAAAAAAAAAAAAAACCCTGGATTTTATTTTCTTTTTGAAGCAACACATGTTGGTGGGTTGAATGTATATTTTTGCTAATTATTATTATTTTTTCTTTTTTTCTTTCTTTTTTCTGTTTAAGAAGGGGTAGTGATCTGCTCCACGAAAAAGGTTTGTTTTCGTGGGGTTTTATTTTATATTTTTATGTATGGTTATATGACCCATTATTGTTTATTTTTTATGTACTCTGCAGATCTGATAATATATTTGGTGTTTCTTTCGGTGCATTTCTGGAATCAAAGACGGGGCGGCTGCGATGTCGTCTCTCAGTAGAGAGCTTGTGTTCTTGATCTTACAGTTTTTAGAGGAGGAGAAGTTTAAAGAGACTGTTCACAAGTAAGCTGCCTTCTTTTTCAATTTTCCATTTCATAACATTTCTGTTTTTTAATTATAGTATTTTTTTTAATAATTATTGTTTATTGAGTTAGACCTCATTAATTGCTTTATTATTGTTTAAATAGACTTGAACAAGAATCTGGGTTTTTCTTCAATATGAAATATTTTGAGGATGAGGTGCACAATGGCAATTGGGATGAGGTTGAGAAGTACCTCTCTGGCTTCACAAAAGTAGACGATAATCGATACTCTATGAAAATATTTTTTGAGATAAGGAAGCAGAAATATCTTGAGGCATTGGACAAGTAAGCTTGCAAAGTTTCAATTTTTATCCTTTCTGTAACTTGTGCAATATTTGATGGGAAATTTAGTGAAATTGAGTCTATTTATTGATTTTGAAAGGCATGATCGGCCCAAGGCTGTTGAGATATTGGTAAAGGATTTGAAAGTTTTCGCAACATTTAATGAGGAGCTTTTCAAGGAAATCACTCAGCTTTTGACATTGGAGAATTTTAGGTATGTGGCTTATTAAATTGTTCAAGGTTTGATTTAGAACAACTATGGTCAATGTACTTAAAAAGTAAGGTTTATTGCTTGACAGGGAGAATGAACAGTTATCCAAGTATGGAGATACAAAGTCTGCAAGAGCAATTATGTTGGTTGAGCTCAAGAAGCTTATTGAGGCAAATCCTTTATTCCGTGATAAATTACAGTTCCCTAACCTTAAAAATTCAAGGTTGCGGACTCTTATAAACCAGAGGTAATGTTTCTAAGGTTCATACGTGTCATTTTGGTCAAAAAGGTTAGCTCGATTTTTAATGAATTTATTATCATTTTCTGGAGATATTTTCTATTCCCATGTAAGTTTTACAATTAGTGTACTTCTTTAGTCTGTTGGCCATGATGTTCGTTGTGCACCCAAGTTCCCTTTCACATGAAGGGCCAACTGAGTTTCTTTTGTCAATGGCAGCTTGAATTGGCAACATCAACTTTGTAAAAACCCCAGGCCAAATCCAGATATTAAAACTCTATTTGTGGATCACTCATGTGGACAACCAAATGGTGCACGGGCTCCATCACCTGCAAATAATCCTCTTCTCGGATCCTTACCAAAAGCCGGAGGTTTACCTCCTCTGGGTGCTCATGGGGTGGGTATTTAGCTTGGTTGTAAAGGTAAGCCATTTTATGTGATGGTCAGTGGTTTTCCTAATCTGCTTGAGTTTATGCTATCAGCCATTTCAGCCTGCACCAGCAACAGTTCCAGCACCACTTGCAAGTTGGATGTCTAATCCATCCACTGTAACTCACCCAGCTGTTTCTGGAGGGTCAGCTATTGGTCTTGGTGCTTCTTCAATACCAGGTGGTAAATAAATTACATTAGATGCTTTGGCCTTAAGTTTCTTATCATCGTGCAGAGATCATATTGAATCTTCTAGTTCTATCTTTAACTAAAGGTGTTTTTGTGTTGGTTTATGTAGCTGCTTTGAAGCACCCTAGGACTCCCCCAACTAACCCCTCAATAGACTATCCATCAGCTGATTCTGATCACATTTCTAAAAGAACAAGGCCCCTGGGGATTTCTGATGAGGTAATTTTTTTCTATTTGCACCCAGCTTGCATCTCATTGCACCAGCTTGCATCTCATTGCACCAGCTTTTGTATATGTAGACCTGGCCCTTGTTTTTTCTCTGGTTGTTATCAATATGTTTGCCGAAGTCACCTCCTGCATCTTTGCTCACAGGTAAATCTGCCTGTTAATATGCTGCCCATAACATTTCCAGGCCATGGTCATGGTCATGGTCAGGCTTTCAATGTACCTGATGACTTGCCAAAGATTGTTTTAAGAACTTTGAATCAAGGGTCTTCTCCTATGAGCATGGATTTTCATCCTGTTCAGCAAACCCTGCTTCTAGGTGTGCATGCCTTTAACTTCTTGTTGCATTTGGCCTGCTTGTATCTCATTTCTTGAGGTTCAATTTGGTAATTTTTTGTTGGGTTTTCTTGCTACAATGCTTCAGTTGGTACCAATGTGGGGGACATTGCATTGTGGGAAGTTGGTTCAAGGGAGCGACTGATTCTAAAAAATTTCAAAGTTTGGGATCTTACTGCTTGTACAATGCTTCTTCAGGTTTGTGCTTGGTGGTTCTATGGTCATCTAGGCTTATTGCATCTACTAAACTCTTGCTTGAATACAGGGAGCCCTTGTCAAAGACCCAGGTGTATCTGTTAACCGTGTAACTTGGAGTCCTGATGGCGCTTTATTTGGTGAGCTTGGACATGTTGAAATTCTTTAATGGTTGATGTGCCAGTAACCAACACAAATATTTATAGCGGGTAAAATGGGGCACCATTTGACCTATCTTGTCTGGTAACAGGGGTGGCTTACTCGAGGCACATTGTACAAATATATTCTTATCATGGTACTGATGATGTGCGGCAGCATCTGGAGGTATATGTAGTTTCTGTGCTGGGTGTCTGATTTCTTTGTCCCCTTGCTGACATTTTGAGTTGCTTGATTGAAATTGAAATTGAAAATCTACTGTAGATTGACGCTCATGTTGGTGGTGTAAATGATCTAGCATTCTCATATCCAAATAAACAGCTTTGTGTCATAACCTGTGGTGATGACAAGACAATCAAGGTTAGTTTATTATTTTTCTCAGAAGGATAAAACGTTTCTGGCTGATCAAAAAAAAAAAAAGAAAAAGGAAAAAGGGATAAAAAGTTTCCTCCTGCTGCTGACTCAATTTTGTAATCGAAGGTGTGGGATGCTGTTAGTGGTGCAAAACAGTATACCTTTGAAGGTCATGAGGCTTCTGTTTATTCTGTCTGCCCTCACTATAAAGAAAATATTCAGGTAAGCAATATAGCTTCATTGTATGTGTCATGCTTCTAGCTTCTTGTGCTTTTCCTTGAATGTAAAAATTATCTCACTGCCAGGTTCATTCTTGTTCCTAATGGATTCTTCTTTTTTTTTTTCCCCTTTTTTTATTATTATTGTATGCCTCAGTTTATCTTCTCAACAGCACTTGATGGAAAGATAAAGGCATGGTTGTATGATAATTTAGGATCTAGAGTTGATTATGATGCTCCTGGGCGGTGGTGCACAACCATGGCATACAGTGCTGATGGTACAAGGTTGTTTGCTTGACTTTTTAGTTAGTTTTATTGATCAGTTTTATTGATCCCCTGCTAATGTGTTGGAAGATAATGACAACTAAAAGAGGTTTTTGACTCTATTCTCTGCTGACCTTCCTCTTTTGGCGGGTGAAAACTGTAGGCTCTTTTCTTGTGGAACTAGTAAAGAAGGGGATTCAGCTATTGTTGAATGGAATGAAAGTGAAGGGGCTGTAAGGAGGACCTATCAAGGACTCCGCAAACGTTCTTCTGGTGTTGTGCAATTTGATACGACTAAAAACAGATTTTTGGCTGCTGGTGATGATTTCTCCATTAAATTCTGGGATATGGACAACATCCAGCTATTGACAACCACCGATGCTGATGGAGGCCTCCCAGTGAGTTCATTTAGTCAAATTAGATAGTTAATTACCCTTTGAAGATAACACTTGCTCACTTTGCCTTTTCCTGTTTTTATAGTCAAGCCCACGAATCCGCTTCAACAGGGACGGATCTCTCTTGGCTGTTTCTACAAGTGATAATGGGATTAAAATTTTGGCAAATTCTGATGGTGTTCGTTTATTGCGAACTTTTGAAAATCTTTCTTATGATGCATCAAGAGCTGAAGCCTCAAAGGTGTAATTATTAGATTGTTTAATTTTATGACATGCAACCTAAATATTACCAAAAAAAAAGAAGTATTAGATTGTTTAATTAACTTAATTTTATGATATAAAACCCAACTATTACTAAAATCTTATCTAATGTGTTGTTTCTCCAGCCTACAATTAGTCCAATATCCCCAGCAGTAGCAGCAGCAGCAGCAGCAGCAGCATCAGCATCTGCTGCTACGAGTAATGGACTTGCAGACAGAAGTGCCCCTGTGGTTGCTATTGCTGGAATGGTCTGTTAGCCATGAATGCCTTAGCCATGAATGCCTTTATATATTAAACATTAGCTCTTAAAAAAATTTATCTCAATTGAGCAGGAGTTACCCCTTCGAATGCATAATTTGCATTGTAGTTAGGATATCATGGTTTCTTTTTGTGGCTAATTTGCTCAGTGACAAAACTTGGTGATTTTTCTCTTACACATGTTTATTAACTCAAATAATCCTGGTCAGAATGGGGATGCTCGAAGTTTGGGGGATGTTAAACCTAGAATTTCTGAGGAAACTGGTGAGAAATCAAAGATTTGGAAGCTCACTGAAATTAATGAACCATCTCAATGTCGATCCGTGAGGCTTGCAGAAAACTTGAGAGTGACAAAGGTATAGAAATTTGTTCATTTGATCTTGTATTGATGTGTTTCTCTAACATACTGGTCTGTTGATCATGAATCTGAATCTGCTCGGTGATTATAAATTTTTTTTTTTTTTTAAATTTGTATATCTAAGGTCACTTCAATGGTACTTTTCCTTTTGTCAAGTTCCCCTAACTATCTTTTTTCATGTTTCCTTTTGTCTGCAATCTGCATCATACATTTAAGTCAGTAGCGGTACTTGTTAATTAGGAGGTGCAACACTAATTAATTTCTGATGATACCTTTAGGTACCCCTTAAAATAGTAATTCAAACTTTGGTTTCTTATTGGTGAGTAGAATGGTGATATTGCTCTTAAAGAATGTTCTGAACCATCTGGTCAACCAGTTAGGAACCATGATAAAGGGGAAAAAAAAAAATCTAAAACCAAAATCCCATGACTTTTCCTATGGGATGCCTCCATAAAATTGTTATTTTAAAATTTTGTTGCTGTTAAGGAATTTTATATTCTAAGAATTCATTTTAAACACACACACATGTATATAATGTACTAAGTGTGGAATGGATGAATTAATTGAGAACATTAAGAACAAGTGTTATGTCTTTAAATATTAACATGTAACAAGGGATAGCCTAGTTCTGGGGGATTAATGCATTGTATTTTTTTTTCATCATTTTTTTTGTTAAACTTTTTAAAGATGTAAATCTAAAGTATGTTGCAGATTCATCTTGCTTAGATTCTATTCAAGGCAATAAGATGAAGTGATTCAAGATGGGTTTATTACTTCAAAACCAAAAACTTCACACTGAATTTATGTTAAGTAAACTAGTACATATGGTTTAGAATGAAGCTGGCTTCCATCAGATAATGTATATTACATTAAAGAGAAGAAGCTTTAGTTATTGAATAAATGCTTCTAAAGTATAGACAACCATCTCTGCAAGGGTGCAAAATTGAAGGCTTAGAGAAGCATAAACACATTTGGCTATGCATTTTTGGATTTCATACTCTGTTTTGTACTTACGAAATTTGAATTTCATTCTAGTCATTTATTTTGTTTGGCTTCCTCTAATTAGCTTTCTTACCGATTAAACAGATATCAAAGTTAATCTTTACCAATTCAGGGAGTGCTATTTTGGCATTAGCATCAAATGCCACTCACCTGCTCTGGAAATGGCAACGAAATGAACGTAATGCATCGGGCAAGGTACTAGTGTACAAAATTGTTTTCATCATCTGTAGTTTCTCGTTTAAATTTTTTTGTAAAATGCATTCGACTGTATTCTAGAGATTATCGGTTGAATCATGTAGGCGACTGCCAGTGTGCTGCCTCAGTTATGGCAACCAGCAAGTGGCATTCTTATGACGAATGATATTACTGACACAAATCCTGAAGAGGCTGTTCCCTGCTTCGCTTTATCCAAGAATGACTCTTATGTAATGTCAGCATCAGGAGGAAAGATTTCCTTATTTAATATGATGACATTTAAGGTAACCCATGAATCCTGGTATATAGATATTTAGTTTTCTGTCCATATATCTCTCCATCCATTAATGATTTGAATAAGCATTATCATTTTTGGATAACTGCAGATGATGGCAACTTTTATGGCACCGCCTCCAGCAGCAACATTTCTTGCTTTCCATCCCCAAGATAATAATATTATTGCTATTGGCATGGATGATTCATCGATTCAGATATATAACGTCCGTGTAGATGAGGTAGGATGCAGCTTGTGTGCAATTATTTGCATAAATTTTGACAAGCAGCAGTTCTTACCCTCCATTTTCTTCATTCAGGTTAAGAGCAAACTTAAGGGTCACTCCAAAAGAATTACAGGCCTTGCCTTCTCTCATGTACTAAATGTGCTAGTCTCATCTGGAGCTGATGCTCAGGTATTTATTTTTCTATTTCTGATACATGCAACAGGAAATTGGCTTCCCCTATGGGTTTTTTGCTTTGAGATTGTTCGTCATCTCTCTTTCCATAAATTTTCTTTATATTGCCTTATCTTAAGATTAACTTTCTTTTTCACTATTTTGATTACATGATAAGAAACAATTTGTTCATATTTAATGAACTGACTCTCCACTGCATCTTGGTAGTATCATTAATGAACACTTCCCGGATCTTGAATGATTAGACCTTCTGTTCTCCTGGTCCCTATTGTGAAACTATATTTGGATGTTTTGACATTTGTTCACTGATCTGTAATCATGCTGCTGTTCTTTCTCTTTCAGCTTTGTGTATGGAGCACTGATGGATGGGAAAAGCAGAAGGCCAGATTCTTGCCAGTTCCAGCTGGAAGGACTACAACAGCAATTTCAGACACGCGTGTACAATTCCATCAAGATCAGCTTCATTTCCTCCTTGTGCATGAGACTCAGCTGGCCATATATGAAACAACAAAGCTAGATTGTGTAAAGCAGGTATCTTTTGATTGTATTCCACTCTAGTGTGGAACTAATTTCTTGATCTAATGACCTAAATTTTGTGTTTTTTTTTTCTTTTTTTTTTTTTTTTTTTTTGTTTTAGTGGGTCCCCCGGGAATCTTCTGCTTCAATAACTAATGCAACATTCTCTTGTGATAGCCAACTGGTATATGCTAGCTTTTTAGATGCGACTGTCTGCATCTTTAACTCTGCAAGCCTCAGGCTACGTTGTCGAATTAATCCTTCTGCTTATCTTCCTTCTAGTATCAGGTGCCTCATCTAGTTTTTTGCTCATAACATATATAATATTATTTTCCCTTTTATATGACATGTTTCAATTTTTTAGAGCCTCTGTTACAACTAACATCTTTCATAATTATCCCTTGGCCTTTAGACACTTTGCCATTCTATATACCCACAACTTTTAAATCTTAGTTGAGAAATTTTCAGTGTAAATTGATGCTTAATAAAAGTGTATATTTTGGTTTTTTGCCTTTCCTACAGTTAATATTGCAAAATAAAACTACCATAAAACACAAAAAGGAGTAGTATTGAAATTAACAAGACTCTGCTAGTGTAAAATTATAATGTGGAAGAAACAATCTTCTCAAACATGTGGCCAGCAATTTGAGTTAAACTGAAATATTTTCTTTCTACGAAGTACAATGTTGTGTTGAGTTGAGAGTTATCTTTACAGGAAAAAGAGATCCTTTTCAAACTATTTGAATACTATTTTCCTCTTTTCTGCCTTTACCTTCTATGTTTTGTAGTTATTACTTGATAGGCTATATCTAAACGTATTAGACGGTGAAGATCTGTTAGATTCTGGTAAACAGTCATAGGCAAATTCAAAGTAGTTTCCTGTTATAATGCGCCCAAAATTGTTATTTGCATCTAAACTCTGAAATTTCCTATTCTGATTTTGAGACTGGTGATGTTCCAACTCATCTTTTATTACCGTTCCTTACCAACATCATTTTCTTCTATGTTACAGTTCTAGCGTCCACCCACTTGTAATTGCTGCACATCCACAAGAAGCCAATCAGTTTGCTTTGGGCCTTTCAGATGGAGGGGTTCATGTATTTGAACCTCTTGAATCTGAAGGCAAATGGGGAGTGCCTCAACCTATTGAAAATGGTTCAGCAAGCAGCACACCGGCTCCAGCTCCAACTCCAGTTGGAGCCACTGCTTCAGAACAAGCTCAGAGATAAGGAGCAGGTGCCAAAGCACAAGTTCTCTTTTTCATATTGCTTGGTTTTGCTGGGTAGTTTCTATTTAGGTATGCTTTATATAATCAAATTAGGAGCTCCCAAGCCATCTTTTTTAACCATATAAATTTCCTTTTGTTTATATTATATGGCTGATTTCTCATCCCTAACTTCATATTCCCTTCTTTAATCTGCAGTTCGAGAATCAAGATATGGGACCAGAGAACAAGAAGCAGATATGTAGATTTAACATGTTTAGTAGATATAATATACATAAACTTATAATGCTGTAGTAACACAGATAGTGAAGTGTTATCCTTGTCCTCTCCTTATTTCCTCTCTGGAGGGTAAAATTCTCAAGAGGAAAGATTTAATGTCCTCTCCTAGTTATTTATTTCCCATACATTTTCTCAGTTTATATAATGTAATAGCAAATGCTGCTTTACACCTTTCTCTTTGCCTCATGTTTCCTTCAAAAAGTGTGCCTCTCTTTGGTTACTTTTGTGGACTACAATTCGGCATGTCCATGCTAACACCAAGATTTTCCCTCCATTTAACCAATTTAGATTCCAAAATTTACTTGCATTTCTGGGTTTATATCTTGAAAGCAATTTCAAGCATTCAGCATGAATGTGGAATTTCAAGCATTACATGCACGTTCTTCCTACCATTAGGACTTTAAGATGGTGATGTTCCTGCCTTTGACCAGAGACATGATAATAGTATACATTTTCTTGTTCACATCCCACCCCCTCTCCTTCCAATGCCAATCTAACAAAAGGGTGTGGAATGGTACTATGGAAAAATCCAAAATATGTAACTTCATAGTGAAAAATACAGTGGAATCGAAAAGTTGTCAATTTACTTGACGTAAATACAAGTACAAACAAGTGGGGCCAAAGGCAATGCCATCCTCCTAACCCCACCATGATAAACTGGGTTGAGGAGGACCCATGACAGCCAGACACCCAAAAATATACAAAGATAGAAAGAAAACAACAATGATATCATCAACTCTTGAGGAATATATGAGCATCCCTCTGTCATGTCTGGTAGAGGTAGTTAGGTTTTTTATGCAATGGGATTATTAACAACTACTATTCATCAAAATTTTTTTTTTTTTTGAAGTTTTGGTTGTGATTTGCATGCGCATGCACATAAAATAAAGTGAAATAGAAAAGACTATTACAATAATTATGTTGGAATGGGATGCCTCATGAGTCATGCCTCTACCCCTAGTTGTTATGTTGTAATAAAATCTACAAATTCAGCTACTACTCCCATAAATATAATGTCCACACCAACCAACTAACATCACTTATACCATGATTGCATAACTAACTTGTAATAATCTTTTGCAATTTAAATCATGAGATAAGATGTTTCTACTTAAAAGCCTGTTGGGGGGCAAAGTCTGATGATCAAAATCAAGAGTGGAAATGGCTAAAAGTACCAAGTAGTTGAGGGCATTCATGTAATAACTTACCAAATGGAAGTGCCAACACCCTTTGGGAGGTGTCTCAATACTTCGAGCCTTTAAGACAAATCTCATACTGATTAGGCACGTGATGGATCTCAAATTTGTAAGTGCACATCCAATATTACAATTCATGGGCAGACATGTATATCAGATATTTAACCTCTTATTGTTTGTCTTAATCAAAATAAATATCTATGAAATATTCCAATTCACAAGTCACATTAGATTGGGATGGGAACAAAGGAAAAAGTAGCAGTCCGTGAGTTGAGAAGAGTTCAAAAATCGAATAGATTGTGGGTTGCATGTGAAATGTGGGAGTGGGGAGACCATATGGAAATTTCAACACTGCATTTTCACATGCCACTCAACAATAACAACAAAAAAAAAAATCACTCCTGAAGTTGGACGCACCCAGCGACAAGACAGTTTTTAGCCAAATAAGGTGATGGTGTGGGTCCTTCCACGTTCTCTTTTCTTGTATCTTCATTCTCATTTTCTTTTTTATCGACTAAGAAAAATCTATAGTAATAGGGAGTACAACGCGTATTCCAATTCCTTACGAAAATAAGAAGGTAAAATTTAATGCTAACATAAAAAAAAACAAAAAAATTGCAAACATCATTCTCTCATAGACTTTTGTGTTTGGAAAATTTGTTTAAACATGAAAATTTTCATAGTGGGGTTGTAAAATTGGGGCTAAAGTATGTATTTAGTGCTTTTATCATATTAAATTTGAAACTTTTAATCCATCATTTTATATTATGAAATCTTCAATTTTTGAACTTAAAAGTTTAAAAAGGATTTACCTTTTATACCAAGGAATCTGTTAACTCTCCATTAAAATAAAAATAAAATATTTAAAAAAAATTAAAAATAATTAATGAATGACTTTATCATATACACGAAAATAGTACTAGACATCTATAATTAAATTGAGCAATTCACTCAATCTAAAGAAATAAATCTAATTGATATTAAAAAAATTTTCTTGACTGTATTCTTTTGATTTCTTGGACTTTTTATCTTATTTCAATCAATAAATTTTCTTTAATCACAATTAGAATTTTTTCTTCGATTGAGCCAATCACTTGATTTAATTACAGATATCTAATACTATTTTAGTGTATGTGAGAAAGTCATTTATTATTTTTTTTTAGTTTATTGTTTTTTATTTTTAAAATTTTAAAACTAAATTATTATATTTTTAATCTTTGAAAATAGATCCTGTAAATATTTTATTCTTGTTTTAACAAAGAGTTAACGAATTTCGTTAGTTTAGAAACTAAAATCTTCTAACCTTTAAATGCAAGGACTAAAAACATCATAATATAAGATAAGGGTTTAAAAACTTTGAATTTAATAAGATAAAGGGGTAAATATATACTTAAGCCTAAAATCGGTTACCAAGCAATGAGGCATAAACTTTAAATGTTAAATTTAATGGTAAATAAATATCATTTTCTAAGTTAAGGTCAGAGTTAAAGTTCTTTTCCTATATAAATTATGTTATTATATCAACAAAAATTTGATTAAGTTAGTATTTATTAACTTAAAATATTTTTGATTACCAATTAACATTTGAGATTCAAAGTTTAAACCTTTATAATATTAGTAACTAATCTTTTAATGTATAAAAAAAATTATATTATCATGAATTTATAATAACTTTTATGATTTTTATTGGGGTACAAGTAACACATTTTTGTCGTTTAACACATAATATCAACCAATAAATACATCATGATACAAACAATTTACTAAATTAGAAAGTGTTCCTCTATTATATGTCTTAAGATCTTAGAAGTGCATTAATTGCAATTCTTTCTTAATAATTATTATAAAAAAGAGTAATTGATTTTAATTTTATCAACCATACTATTAAAATTATGCACGTATTGTTAGAGTTAAAAATATTAAATTTTATATTTTTTTATATAAATTCACAAAAAAAAATAATTAATATACCATTAACCTTTCCCTAACAAGCCTATTTACAAACTAGCTCGAGGGTTGATTGCCTATTCTAGACTTTTTTATGAATCAAATTCCTAAAGTCAAATTCTAATGCCTTTAAAAAAAACTCTTTTAGAATTTATTATTTAATTATCATTAACTCTATGGTTTTCATCAATTTCATGCCTTTAACCTTTATAGAAAGTGGTCAAGCATGTCTGCCGGCCAGCTAACACTTTCTTCTGCCGTTTTCTTTCCTTTTTAACCGTTCTTAAAATTCCCACATAAATGATAAAATATGTAAAAATTAGGGAGGTGAGTTTTAACATAAAATTTGTATTTAATATAAAATTAATGAATAATACATAAAGTAATATTCCTTGTATTTAACTCATGCTTCTTTGTTAATTTTATCAAGCTTTCCTCACTTGCAGACTTAATATAACTTTGAGTTTTGTTATGATGACTCACGTACAGATCTGATCTGTCACATGGATTTTAGACTAATAAATGGTCTTGAAATACCCTTTCCTCATACAATCCTGAATTATCATAGGATCGTAGGTTTAGTAAAAAAAAAAATATAGATTCTAATATCATGTAAAAATTAAGTGTGTGATATGTGAATTTTAATAAAAAACTTTTATTTAATCTAAAACTAATTGAAAGCAATCTTCTTTATATTCAAGTCACATATCTTTTTATTACTTTATCAATATGAAATTTCTCACTTAACAAAATATAAATATCACAACAACGAAAATAAATCAATAAATTGATTGATGTGAATCTTCTCATGAAGAGTATTATGGTATATAATTTCTAATAAAACATGATAAACGTGCGGAATATTTTTCTTACTCTAATTTGTAAATTTTTATCATTAATTTTTTGTTTAGGGATAACAAATGTAATTAATGATATGCATTACAAGTTTAATAGCATATTATATTTGAACAAAATATTGTGAACAAAACATTGTATTCATAATTCATAGTATTATCGTTTTTTATAATACTTTTTTGTTTCCTCAAATGGCAAAACTTTATGTTATGTCCTAAACTTATTCTACATTTTCAATTAAATTCTTAAATTTTTATTGAAATAAATAAGTTTATGAACTTCATAATCTAGGCAATTTAATCCTCTTTCTTTACGGCTAATTTAATACTTGCTTTTGTCTTGCTTGCGTGAAGAATGTATTAATATATTATTACTTATGTGGTTCATATTGAGATTGTTCATGTAAATAAGGCATAAACAATCGTTTAGTTTACTATAAGAAAAATGGTTAAATTGTGCAAATCGCTAAATTCAAAAATTTATTTATTTCAATTAAAATCTAATAACTTAATCTATAATCTAAGATCAATTCAAGAACTTAACCTAAAGTTTTGCCTCTCAAATTTGCAATCTGTTTTTAGTGAACATTTTGCCCTACTAACTTTTGAACTGCTCCCTGGTTCCTCTGCCATCTAATTTTTTAAAAGTACTTGTGTCTTTTTTTAAAGTCGGCTTTAACTTAAAAAAAAAAAAAATTAAAGCTAAAATTTTGTAATTTTGTAAGTAGACACAAGTATAGGTTCCAAAAGAAATTTTATAATTTTGATGAAGAACCTTTGCTTTAGGCCGGTGAACATAGGCTCCACTTTTTAAGAGGACAGTGGTCAACTGTTCAAACTGATACCATGTTTATTGTGGATGCTACCTTCTATTATTAAAAAGTTGTAATTAACTAGCAGGAGAAAGACTAGACCTAGCAATACACTAGGAAAACAATAAATTTAAAGTCAAAGTATCTCATATTATGTTATCTACTTTTTCTTTTTCTTTATTGCAAGCAAAGTAGATTCTCAGTAAGATATGGGAAAAACTTTATTGCATCAGTAGAATACAAGGGGCTTTTTTTTTTTATGACAGGATTCAAGATTAGCTGGTAGCCATTCTAAAGGAAGTTGAAATTTCTAGATTTGATTTCAAATGTAAGATTTTTACACCTTAAATTTAGTCAGTTAACGTACGTGACCAATTGTAAAAATTGACCCGGTAGCAAGAAAATA